TAGTAACGATTGCATTCAGACCTGGCAGTCAGCCCAATGTATTGGTGTGCAATGACCGAATGGCGGACTGAGAGTTAGGCTGCGATAGCTTCTTCTTAATATGGCCTTTATGGCACTCCTACTTCGTGGTATCCCAGTCAGGTGTTACGGCATTTCTAGAGGCAGCTCCGGCCGCGCCAGCTACCTGCGCCCTCTCCCGCTTTCCGGCACTCGGCCCAGATTTTAGAGGGGGAGAGTGCGGTAGAGTAATCGCAAGTCTGCTTTTACTATAATCTAACTCGTGCACAAAAGGCCACCCCTGTCGTCGAACTGTCATCAATCGCTCTAAGTTACCAGGCCAACACTTCTCTGACGCGCCGAAATCGATGTCCACGAGAATGAGACTTGAGCGTCTCTGTGGTGCGTTGTGGGAAGCCATGGCAAATTTTATTCTACTCATCGGCTTTTTCAATCTTAGGAACCATTACCAGCTAAGGTTCAAATAAAATCCCGATACATGCACGTGCACGAACGCTCAAAGACGACAGTTTACCGTGTAAAAATACCTCCAATTCTTGTAAAAAGGAGGGAGCGCAGCATTGGTGACTAAAGCATGAATTTGTTTAGATACAGAAGATCGCAGCATCCACCAGCCTGTCTCCTCCCTCACCTATATTGCTCTGACGGTAAAAGAATACCATATATTGAGAAGAAGTAGTTTCGATCACCGGAATCGTAGTTTTATTCGCCTGAGCTTTCGAACTCTTGTGGGAGTCCATCGTCAGAGATAAAACCGTGAACTAAAATAAGTCATATTTACATTTCGCCCCCTCCCCCCTTATATATTTTGCTTGCTTTCGTTGACGGTTTTATCTCTGAAGATGGACTCCCGCAAGAGTTCTAAAGCTCAGACAAATAAAACTACGATTCCCGTGATCGAAATTACTCCTCAATATATGCACATACATGGGATGTGAACCTTTGCCTCAATTCGTGAAAAGAATATCAATACGACTAGAAGTTGGCTCGGGCTCAGTGGCTGTCAAAGCTAAATATCTTGTTGACGCGTGCCACGCATGTATCAGTCAGTGACATAGATACCAAATTAGGGAGCAATCGCAACATCAATCACAGTCCTGAGAGGGGCGGAGTAATCTCGTCAGTTGGCAACCTTTCGAGCCCGAACACTTCGCGCATTGTGATAGATTGTAGCACAGTATCTTTATTTTG